TTTTTTATTTTTTTTTACCTGTACATAATAACCACGAGTGAAACCAAGATAAAATTGCACAAAATTGCAATAATGCACTAAAAAATACAGAAAATGATGAGCTTGTTCTTATGGGGAAACCAAACAGGCAAATAGAAGAGTAAACGGGGAAGGAAAAGCACAACAAATGTCTAAAAATGTCCTAACTGATGTGCTGGAAGCACCACAAATCATGTCCATGTACAAAAATAACGGATAAAAATATTGTCACTATTTATCAAAGTGCCTCGATAAATTTCCCCGATTATGTTTTTCTTCAAACTGCCTCCAGACCATGTAGCAGCTGTTTTTTTTGTGTTAATATGCAGCAGACTGATTAAATAACTTGCAGATCTCGATTCTTTTTAAGCATTTCTTTAAAAAAAATTAATTTAAAAAATCGATGCTGCTCTTTCTCTGTCTCCATCTGCGACTGCTCCAAAAAAGTCACCTCTTCCACTAGAATTAATTAAACTTGTTGGCTTCCCTTCATTTTTAACAACTTTTGGACGCTTTAAGGCAGCAATTTATTTTTGACTTTCCATGGGATGTGTGCTATTTTCAAATTTAAGTCTTAAGTTTTAGCAGGCAGTGGGGTTTGTTTCGAATTCTTCTGGCTTTCTTTTGAAGTTGAACTGGATTTAAGGAATTACGCATTTGCAGCACTCATCTCATCCTATATGGAAGTATATAACACCATAAACGTCACGTTTCTGATGAAGCTTGATTTCAGAAACAGTTTATATGCGTAGCGAGATGGAGACGGTGCTGCCTTACGCTCCATAACCAAATCTCTCTTTGCAAAATCAGTCCAAATGCTAAAAACTCTGCTGCAGTCGAATATGTATCCCTAATAAGATTAAAATATGACATCCGTGGTTCACGCATACGGGAGAGAGACTGGTGAGGAATACGGCAGCCGATCAGCTGCATAATTATGTTCGTCTCTACAGTATCCGAGGAACTGCGGTGCGTGTCGACGTCTTCTCCGATTTCCGGCCTTAACCTGATTTCTTTCAGTAACCGGGTTTCTTGTGCGCATGTAAATGTAGTTATTATCACGCTCTCGCCATCCTCTCCCTTCCTTCGGCCTCACTCCTTATCGTTTCACCCGGAGCCCCCACCCTCCCTCCTGTGCAGCCTTGTGCTCTCTGCTGACTTTTGTCAGCGTGAAGAATAAAGGTTGGTTGGTCCACAGTGTAGGCCTGAGAGCCTACTGGTCAACACTGAGGCTTGCACCAGCATCTCCCATCTTACCCCACTGGTTGTGCTCCATCATTGACCGTGCTGCGCGGAGAACTATACATCACAGCTCATTATGGATATCATAGCACATGCATTATACATGATTTAATTACCATATCTTTGGGGGGGAAAAGGGATGCAAACCTATGCCGCGTTTGATGAGGACTTTGTGCATAATGGTTTGTTACATGAGAAGATTGCAGTAGAGGAAAAGCATGTGGAAAAAAATATCTAATAAGGTTTTTTTTGTTTTTTTCTTTTGGATGGCTTCCTTTAGAAATG